TGCATTGGGCCGTTCGCGCCCGCGTGCTTGGGCCGGCCTTGTGCCACCGCGCCTGGGCCGCGCGCTCCGCGTCCGCGGGCCGTGGGAGTTGCTAGGCCGGCAGGGTTGCCTCCGGCCCTTTTCGTTATTTAAATACTTTTCTAATATAGGTTTCTAGTTAAATTGTAAAATCAATATAAAATGGTAGAGGAATCCAAAAATTGTGAAACTAATTTTGTTAGGCTCCTAAAATCATGATCTATCTGTTAGCATAATTAGTTTATTAGTTTTAAAATGTTTTTGGGTTGCTTTAATTATTTTAACATGCTTAATATTGCTAAAATGTGAACTTGTAGGAGTTTCCGTGATAAATCGATGATAGTGTTGACTTTAAAAATTTTACAGTAAATTACTAATATTATTAGCTACTCACTTTAATTTTTGTAACTCCCGAATAATTAATTTGCTAGAAAAATAATGATGCCCAATTTTGGATAAAGAATAAATCGATAGAATGAAATAAAGAAACACCTTGGGATTGTATAACTAAAACATCTGTTGGCAAATAACGTCCTATTTGACAATATGGATACGTAGACCAGCGTTAGAGCTATCTCGTTAGCTTGTGAGGCGTGATCGGATTTCTAAGCATTTTGGCTGTCGTTGATTATTTACATCTATGCATTTGCATCAATGCATATCATATAGGTACGATGATAGATCAACGGATCAATTGAAGGATGATTGGGAATTCGAAGATGGTGTAATGGTATTCTCTCCAGGAGATAATGTAATGGGCTTTCTATTCAGTTGAGGGTGGACTTACAAGGCTTAGGCTGAAATCTGGGACAGGGCTGTCTACTACTGAGTCAGTACTGACGGTAGTACATTAGCAAATGCAACTGAAACTTTTTGTGTGTGCAAATCGTGCTCAGAATCATTGGTTTCCTCTCTTGATGATAAGGGATTAGTAAGTGCGACTGCTGTTTCCTGCATGTGCAACTCGTGCTCTGAAACAGGGCAGTCCTCTACTAAAGTTGTGACATTAGCAGGTGCGACTGAAGTTTGTTGTGTGTGCAGCTCGTGTGCAGAACTTTCTAACTCAGCTACCAGCTGGGTTCCCCACTCCGGGACATCGGACACCACCTCCTCTTCTAAGGTGACCTGATGTGGATCGTTTGTAGCAACTGTGAGAGCTTGCTGTGCCTTATTAGACATAGGCTGTAGAAGGGAGGCATCATTTTTTCCTAAGTCGAGATGTGACTCAGTACAGGTTTGTGTGTGTTGCCTAACTAGACCAACTACAGATGTGTTCGACAAAAAATTGGTAGTGGTCGAAGGCGGTATAGACCTAGGAAGCTGTAAACAATCCCTGACTTGAGTAATTGTAGGATTTTCAGAAGCAGATGGCTGCACTGGAGAATGAGGACTCACCAGCAGGTTCTGCAGTTTCTGAAGGGTGAAATCCACCTTGATGTTGGTGGGGATGCGCCACTCCATTCCAATGCCCACTCCAGCATTTCCTTCTGCCTGTTCCGTTGCCGAATTTGGGATTGGGTCGTCATTCATGTTTGTGTTGCTGATGGCAGCCTTCTCCACTCCCTGATATTCTGGCTCCCCTGGGATGATGATTTCAGCCACTGAATGATGGAGGTTAGGCATGGAGCGTTCAGAAACAATGGGGTCAAAAACACAGTGGTCCATTTGGGAGGAGGAATTACCCTTGATGAGCATGATGCTGTCGTCAGGGAGGATGGCCTTGGGTGGTTTGAGTTCTGTTGCAATTGGGTCGTCAAAGGTGACCTTCTTGAGCTTGTTTTCCCCCTTGCGCCCCTTCTCCCTCCAAACCAGGGTTATCTCCTGGTGGCTCTCTAGTGCTCCCCCCCTGCTTCTTCTTGGTGGGGAATCCCTACACCCGCGCCACCTGCTGGAGCTGAGTCAGTCCTCGATCCCGCCTCTGCAGCGCGAGTTCCTGGCCCAGCTGGAGAGACTGCGGTGGTGACGGATGCCATGATTGCGCCCGTCGTCGTAGTCGTCGTCGTCCCTTCTTGGGTGGCGCCTGATGTCGCGGCCCCGGTTGCTGCCACGCCTGCCGTGGAGACGTTCCCCCTTTGTGTCTGGGGCTCCATAGCTCCAGATGAACTCCCTGCGGGCCTTGTGGTTTGGAGGCCCGCCCACTCCGTCCCGGCCCAGCAGAAAAGAGAGGTCCTCCACTACCTCCAAGTGGTTGCGCAGAAGGTACAGATTCCAAGTTTCAGAATTTAAGTGAAGAGACTTATTTTTTCCAAAAGAATAGATTCATAGTTTAAGAAAGGAATACCTATATATGAAAATAAGAGCTTCCGTTCGTAAAATTTGTACAAAATGTCGACTGATTCGCAGGCGTGGGCGAATTAGAGTCATTTGTTCCAATCCGAAGCATAAACAAAGACAGGGGTAATCTTTCGAAAAAGAAGCTTTTCTTTCTAATAAAGTAAAAAAAAAAAGTACCCACGGAAATGTCCAAATTGCAAATAAAAAAAAATGAAAGTAAAGGATATATTTTAACCCGAAACGGATATCTTTGTATCTTTTGGGGCGGCAGCTCCTGTCCGGATCAGTCACCGTGAACAGAACCTCGGTGGGGATGTCGCAGGGGTCCGAGCACCAGGCCCAGAGGTCGAATGACCTGGTGCGCTCACGGTGACGAGTCGTCTCCTCCAAGTAGTGCACAGCACAGCTCTTGCTGAGCGCCTTTGCAGCTACGTCCTCCGCCCAGCAGTGCACTGGGATGCCCTCAATACGCACCTTGGCACGGAACTCCCAGTTGACGTTGTTGGCGTAGCGGCGCTCGCTCTAGGTGGCGAAGTGGAAGTCGCGTCTATGGGCCCGTTTGACTTACCTTATAATCTGTACTATTCAGCTTGTTTTTTCAGTCGAAATTATGTTTTTTCTCTCACAACAATTCAGTCAGAACAGTGTTTTTAGCCAATTTAGTCAAGTTTCAGCAAGCCGAACGGGTCCATTATCGGAGAGGATCTCCTGGTCCACCAGGCGCTGACAGATCGCAGGGTCGGAGAAGATGACGAGGTACTGCTCGGGGAAGTGCTTGACCACCTGGAAGTCACCATGGCACAGGTGCAGCTGGCCGCGGAGGGCATCGCTGACATGGTAAGTCTCCGTGTCGTGGCTGTTGCCATCGAGCCAGCACACGGCTGCTCTGTCGACGAGCTCATCACGGCGCCTCTTGATGGTACTAGTGGCTGTCACGGCACAGTAGCCGCGAGCATGCCTGGCCCTCGGGTCTCCAGGATACCTTGCAGCCACCATTGCCTCGTGGCCACGAACCACCTCCGTGAAGGAGCGGTGGTCGACCGTGCAGTGGATTGGAGGTCGAGTGCTGAGCTTGGAAGTGGGATTTGGTTGTCGATGAGCATGAGGAACCTTGGTTTTTTACTGCCTGGATTGCTGGTTGTAGTTGCACACCGCTGCCCTATGCCTATATAGATGGGCAACGGGCCGGCACGGCCCGATGGGGGTCGGGCCGACAAAGCACACCGTGCCCTGGGGTCGTGCCTATCAGGCACGCGGGCCTGGTCGACGGCCCAGGCATAGCTTAGCTTGCTGGGCTGTTTTCCGTGCCGAGCCAGCCCGATGAGCCTGGCCTTTTTAGCAGGCCGGCCTGCCCCGAGGCCCACCAAGTGCCTGTAGAGGATAACAGAGGAGGGGAAGGACATCGGCGAGGCGTGGAGGTGGCGGCAGCCGCTGGTGAGCTCGCCCATGGGGAGGACGCGCCAGCTCTCCTTCAACTCGATGGAGGCCGCACGCTCGAACCTCTTGAAGCCTCGGTGAAGACGCGCGCGGGGGGGGGGGTGTCGTGAAGGAGGCGCTGTCAACCGCCGTCGCTCGACGCGTCGAGGTGGTGCTGTGGAGGTGGAGCTGGGGTGCCGCTCGAGGCCGACAGCGCCCTCGCAGCGTGGAGGAGGTGGAGGTCAACGCCGCCGTGGAGGAGGATGGGCACGCGGGGGCGTGGAGACGAGAGGGGTGCCGCCTCCTTCCACGGCGAGGCAGGACCGCAGGAAGGGAGACGCTGCCGTCTTGGCGCTCGAGGCCATCCTCCCCACAGCCGTGCGAGGTCGAGCGGATGTGGCACAGTCGGTGGCAAGGGTGGGGAGCTGGATCTGCAGTGGAGAAGACCCAGCGAGGCTGGATCCACGGCGGAGAAGACCCAGGCACCCAGCGGCACTGCGGAGGCGACGAATGGGGAGGAGGACGACGAGTGTGCAGATCTAGTGGAGGCGGGATCGAGGAAGGAGGCAGCGCCGTGCTTGCCCAAGCTCGAAGTGGGAGCGGCCAACGGGTGGGAAGCGAGCGGCGAACGCCACTCGCCAGCGAGTGCGGCGCGGGAGGGGTGGCGGGGTGGCCTGTGGGGTGGGGAAAGCAAGTTAGGGTTAGGGTGCGGCTGGTGGGCTGTTTATTTAGGAGAGGCTGGTGGGCTCTTAGCAGGCCAAGGTGGTCACTGGGCCGTTACCGGGCCTGCCACAAAAATGCGGGCCATGCCGTGCCAGCCCGCGGGCCTAGGGTAAGGCCAAGGCACGGCCTGCTCCCTCAGGTCGTGCCAGCTCGAGCCCGCTGGCCACCGGGCCATGCCGTGCTTGGGCCGGGCAAAAAAACAGGCCTCGTGCTGGGTTGTCGGGCTCGGGCTGCATGCCCATATATATACCTATGCCCAAACTGGTAGCATTTCTAGCACTTTGACTTAGGCCCCGTTCGGCTTGCTGAAACTTGGCTAAAAGTGGCTGAAAAACACTGTTCTGGCTGAAATGTTGCGAGAAAAAAATCCTGTTTCAACTGAAGAAAGAAGGTGAACAAATCGGATATAAGATAAGCCGAACTGGGAACGGGGCCTTAGAACTACAGACCCGAGCAAGGTGGTTTGGGGAAAGACAATTAAAGCATTTGCCCTCCATCTTTTCTCTGAAGAATGCAGCGCCCGTTGGGTTGTCTTTGGGTAGGTTGAAAGTTTGAACGGTCCTCAGATGTCAATCAGCTCTCTTACGACGGTGCAGCTTGGCTGGCTCCCATCCCTCTTCACTGATGGCGATGTCGAGTTGATGCGCCTTCAGACGCGTGCTCGCTGAAGTAGAGTGCTCATTGAAGCGGGTTGTCTGCGCCGGCGTAGCTGATGAAGTAGCCTGGCCGCCATGAATCCCTTCCTCGCCCTGCACGCTTTTCCCCTTCTGGCTCGCCGGAATCCTGGAGCGGAGGAGATCCACTTCAATGACCGTACATTCTTGGAGCTCCCTGTCGATGGATTTGGGGATCGCGTTGTCTGGCTTTTGGCAGGCTGAATTGATGACGGTTCTGCCCTTCACTGCATCTGAGCGCCCCAGCTCTGGGCGAGGATTGATGGTGGTGCTGCACGCCGCTGCACCTGAGCGCTCCTGTTGATCCTTGAGCTTGTTCAAATCCTTTGCCAAATCCGGGAGCAGCGCCCAAGCCTGCTCTTGTAACTCTCGGTCAATCTCCCTTGGACTTGCCGGCTGGTGGTTGGGCCTGTCTTCCGGCGAGGCACAGGGTGGAGCTGACGGCGACTGGACGTTGGCTTGGTTGCTTCGAGGGCGCTGAGGGCTCGTTTGTTCCGAATAAGTTACCTATTTATAAGTTAAAAAGTAAAATAAGTGATTGATTTTGTCAAACATCACTAACTTATAAGTCACCCCTACTTATAAGTTTTAAGTTGGTTCACCCCTACTTAAAACTTATAAGCCACCATTTTCTGTGTGAGGCCCACAGTTTATAAGTCATTTACAACCAAACATACATGACTTATAAGTCACTGGTTTTCAGTCACCTGACTTAATAAGTCACCTGACTTATATAAACCAAACATGCCCTGAGCCTAGGGTGCGCCGAGGACTGAGACCCATGACTGGATAGATCAGGCGGTGGTGGATGCGGATCTAATGTTTGCTGGCTGTGGGAGGTCGGGGATGGAGCGGATCTGGTGAGGGTGGGTTCCGTCGCCGGGGAGACGAGCAAGCCGAGGAGCGGGTCGGGGTCGTCCATCCATGTTATATCCGTACATGATACATTATATATGATATATCTATAATGCATACTATAATGATAATATAAAGATACAAAATGAAATAAAAAATGTGAAAGGGAACGATCTTTTTTCAGACCAAAGGCCTCTAGTTCTTTTACCGAATGAAACCATGAAGTTCAGAAAACAAATTAGATTGCAGGCACTACATGAATCCGAAGCTCGAACCCAGACGCCCCCACCCTTGTGTACAAATTATAGAAGACACCAGTCCTCTTGGCATACTTGGGGTTGGGGAAATAAATTGCGTGGAGGTTCAATGAAGCTACAAAAGTATATAAAAAAATGCAGAGCACACGACAGAGCACTTACAAAGGGTATATCAAATACCAGCAACAAGAATAGGAGGACGGAAGCACGTTTTTTAATTTAGAAACACATGTTGGCAATTGTTCATTTTTTTTCTTATAATAAGAAAGATAAAGGAATGAAACATTCCAGACTCCAGTTCGCCTCACGAAAAATGAAAGCCATAGCCACAGTTTATATCGTCATAGGTTACTCACGTGTAAGCAATTGTTCATAATCAAGGAATAACAGTACAATTGAAATGATATAAATGGAACCACCTGCGTTCCCCGCAAGTCCCAACCGTGGACAGTAGAGGATCTCCAAACAGAGAACCGAGGGGACGGCATCACCAACAGATCGGCTTCTGATCGACTTGAGCTGGGTGGGGAGTCTGCAGAGACGAGGGAGCTGCGTTGGGGTGACCATGAGGTGTCTGTTTAGAACATGAAATATTTTAAATAAAATATTGGAAACCTTATTCATTGTGCTGGAGAATGAATCAGTGGAACCTATACCTTCTTTCATTTCTTTCAAGTGGCGATATTAATCGAAGTGCTTCCAGAGGATGTGTGAAATCTGTGGCCAGCTTTCTCCATCAGGCTCTCGGCAGTTCTTCTTCAAGTTGTCACAACATTTTATATTTATGCGCTGGAGGGAGGATGGCAGAACTGGTAAAGATGTTATGTTGGGGCAATGGCTGATATAAAGACTCTCCAGACTGGAGAGAAATTTTAGATTTCCTGGCAGGGACTCTATTTTGCAATCCCAAATGTCCAGGTGCTTGACAGATAAGAGATTTGCAGATTCTCCAAATGAAGCTGACGGCTCCTTGCAATAACGAAGACTAAGATTCGGTGGGACTATAAACCCTTCAGCCTTGAGCATCTGGTTGAGCAGTACGAAACTACTAACGAAGAGATAATACTGGACACGAAACTGTGAGATGCACTTGGCAGTGAGGTTTGGAACATCTATCAAAGTTAGGTGTTGAAGTTGCCAGGAAGACAAGCCTCGAAGAGAGCACAGATCGGGGAGATAAGATAGGTTTAGTCGGTTAGTCCTTCAAGGGACATCAGGTGGGCAATCGATAAGGATGGGGAGCTTCTGCAACTATGAATGCTAAGAGATTTCAGGTGTGGCAAGCCATTAATGAATGAATCGGCTGCAAGAATGCAGCCAGATATGCCGAGGACCTTAGCAAGGTTGAACGGCATAAATTCTGCCCCACGTGCCAGATCTAAAGAAGGGCAATCATAACAATAAAGTCTGGAAAGAGATGGAGCAGCACGTAATGCTGTGTTTAGTTGTAGGAATTTGAATTTTGGGGCTATTGTAGCACGTTTGTTTTTATTTGGCAAATAGTGTTCAAACATGGACTAATTAGGCTCAAAGCGTTCGTCTCGCAATTTTCCACCAAACTGTGCAATTAGTTTTTCTTTTCGTCTACATTTAATACTCCATGCACGGGCCGCAAACATTCGATGTGACAGGTACTGTAGCAACTTTTTGAAAGTTAGGGTGAAACTAAACAAGCTCCCCAGTGATCTGACAAACCAACAACCTGTTACAGTCAAATTGTCAAGCTTTGTCAAATGCTCAAACACCTCTTCTGACGGAAGTGCAGTTAATGCCATATTATAACCCAAGTGTAAGGTTGTCAGTGAAGTGAGGCCACCAAGGCCTTGTTTAGATTAAGGTTAGGAATCAGTATTTGGCACTGTAGCACTTTCGTTTGTATTTGACAATTATTGTCCAATCATGATCTAACTAGGCTCAAAAGATTCGTCTCGTAATTTAAAATCAAACTGTGTAATTAGTTTTTTTTTATCTACATTTAATACTCCATGCATGTGTCTAAAGATTTGATGTGATGGAGAGAGAGTGAAAAAACTTGCAATCTAAACAAGGCCCAAGGCAATAGCTAGCTCGTTCGGCTGCTCCACTTTTGCCTGATTTCGGCTGGTCTGCTCTACTGCTACAGTGCTAGAATCAGTCCATATCAGCCTGATGTCTGTTGCTCCTACTGCTACAGTGCTCGAATCAGCCCATATCAGCCAGATGAAAAAAGACGAAGTTCACAGATTCCTGATGGTAGAACCAGTGGCAGCTCCATGGTCCTTCCATAAATGACTCTTATCCTCTGCTCATGGCAGAAAAGCCATGCCTTGATGATATTTTCTTTCACCAATATTATATCTCCTCCTTCCTCTAGGCCACTTACAATAATTTGAAGATGTTGTGATATATCATCACCCATCTGCGTTGTCAACTGCTTCAGGGATGAATAGTCCTCTGAAAGTACTTACCTAATATCTGATCCCGAATTGACCTCCCACATTGATGCAAGTTTAGATGCCAGGTCTTCTGTCTTCATTATATTTCCCCTCAAATCATGCTGGTCGAGCTCATTTTTGGAGACAAACATAAGCAGTGGGCACTTCTGAATTGACAATTTTGTAAGCATTGCTGGTAATATCTTCAACTTTGGAACATTTTTTAGACACAGCCTAGAGCAATGCAGTAGGAGCTCAGTATTAGGTGGTAGGCCTTCTAACAAAGTGCAGCCGTTAAGCTTAAAACTTTCCAAATTTTCAAAATAGGATGGCTCAAGTAACCACCTTGGATATGTCCCAGATTTGTAGCCTTCGATTGTGAGGCGACTAAGTTGGGGTGACGGTCTCAGACCTTCTAGAATATCCAAATGTAAAGTATCTGCTGCATCTATTCCATTCTCGCTACTCCAGGCAAGCCGCAACTTTTTAAGGCGATTCTCTTAATATAGCATGGACTCTAAGGCTTCATCCTTTTCTGAAACATTCTCAAGATTTTCTACACTTAAACTGCCACCAAGCTCATTCAAGTCCTTCAGCTACCACAACTCGTATCCTTGCTTCTTTTGCACAGAAAAGGTACGCATGTGTTGTAGCGAAGTTAGCTTGCCTATATTGGGAATTTGATGAATAATTTTTCAACCAAGGTACGTGGGTACTCATTGTACGCCCCCATATGTCGTAACTTACTTAAATTGCAAAGCTTGTCAGGCAACCTCTCCACCATTGGGCTTAACTGAAGTAACTGCAAGTGGTAAAGAGTACATAATGATCTAGGCAATTCAGAAATTAACGTTCTGATAAGGTTCAAATACCGAAGGTGCTTCAGCCTACCAATAGATTCAGGCAACTTACTACTGTTGTAAAATGACAAATACAATACACGTAACTTCTTCAGGTTCACCATCTGATAAAAAATATCACTTGCATCATCTGTTAGTGGATCAATGCAGATAATAGTGCGTAAATGATATAACTTGTGGATAATTTGCTTATGGTTTTGAATGCTCTCAATACGAATTGATAGATGTCGAACAGTGCATGGTATTCCTGTCACATTATCTTCTTCCAATCTGAAGCAGTCTTCTCTAGAGAGTGACTCTGCTAAATCATGAAGGATATCATGCATGACATAGTACGAATCATAGTACGAACCATGCCTTTCAGAAACCATTTGGAAGAGAGATCCAGAGACCATATCATTGAAGTAATCCATCCCAACATCTTCCAATGTTCTACTCGAATTGCACGAACCAACAAAGCCTTCTGCTACCCAAAGATGAACCAAATCATTAGGTCTATATCTATGACCTTTTGGAAATAAGCCGCAATACAAGAAGCACCTCTGTAGACGTGGATCTAACTTCTTGTGACTCCACAAGAGAACTGTGAAGGGCTCACTTAAATCTCTGAGCTTTAGAGCAGCATTCCATTCAACAATATCTTTCTTTAAGCTCAACCGGGAACCCAAAACTTTTGCTGCCAATGGACACATTCCAAGCCTTTTAGCAATCTCCTCTGCAGTATGTTTGAGCCTACTACTACGCAAAACCTGGTCTCCAATTTTTGCTCCTGAGAAAGCATGGTGCTTGAAGAGTGCCAAGAAATCGGCATCCTCCATGTTTTCCAAAAGAATAACTTGTTCTTGTTCACAGCAAATAGCAGCCGGAAGCATTGGACGTCGAGAAGTCACCAAAACTTTGCTTCCCGACTGTTTAGAGATTAATGGATCCAGGAGTTGAAACCACTCTGTCTCACTGCCAGATTTTTCAAACCAAACATCATCCAACACAAGTAGGAATTTCTGACTTCTGCAGTATGTCACGTAATTTGCACTGGAGAGTATCAAGATTATCAAAACATGGGCACTCCCTATTTGTTGCAGACTCAATAATCTCCCTTGTGTGACGACGGACATCAAGCTTGCGTGAGATGCAGACCCACATCCTGACATCAAAGCCTTCTTCTATCCTCTTGTCATTGTAGACATACTGCGCTAAGGTGGACTTCCCCATACCCCCCGCTCCAACAATGGCCAAACTCGAGTACCTAGTTGAACTTGCCTCGTCAGCTGTTGTCTTGCCAAGAAGAAAATCTACTATTCGATCGCGATCCCTGTCGCGACCGAAAACCTTTGAAGTGGAAAGTGATGTCACTGTGGTCGGAGGAACAATGGTTGTTGGTACGGCTGGCCACCCTAAACATGTAGTATTTCCAGGTGGTATGCTAAGAAGATCACGAAGTTCCTTTGCTTCCGTCAGGATGGCCTCGAGCTCATTCATCTTGCTAATTAGCCTTTTGTTCTCAGGGAGCAAGTTGCGCGCCCTGCTCTTGGCGGCACGAAGTGGCTTTAGGATGGTCGATGCAATGGAGGAGGTTTCATCCTCCCCTACCAAGGGATCCTAGCCGTAAAATTTCTCGCGAGACTTTTTCGGTCGCTGTCCCAAAACACCACCAAGCACAAATGAGTTTCGGAACTCAAATATCCAAGCCAACTAGTGACAAGAGTACCTGCTAAAATTCCTCGGAACAGTAGAAAGCCAACGCAGCAGACGGAACACGAAACGGAGCTCAAACAACTAAGCTACAGAAGAAGAAGCAAGCTCTAAAAATAGACCAACATTTGAGCTGCTAACAAAAACAACCATGAGCTCACTGTAGGAAATATGATCAATCACTTGCACTTGACTTGAAATAAATAGATGACCATACAGTGATTACTTCTTGTAGCTGAGGCTGACAACACAATAATAGATGGAGAAACAAAAATCACGATCAAGGCAAGCACTTGCTGCTTAGACAGAACCTGCAAATTTCAGTTGATCTGCGCAGAGAAGAAATGCAAGCAGCTGCTGCTCTGCGGGGTATTTGCACCTGGAATCCATGGCGAGCAACTGCTCGATGACACACCTGCAAGACCGAGCAGTAGAGGCAAGTAGCCCTGACGAGAAACTGATTCCCAGAACGAACACAGAAAGAGAGACCGAACACCCAGGCACTCACAGCAACAGACTGCACCAGTCTCCTCGCAGCATGCTCGACCGGTGATTCAATGAAACCAGAGATGTGCTGGAAGCAACTACAGGGACAAGCAGGGTCTGCGCTGCTCCCCTCACCAGATTGAAGCGTCGACCTGAAGGCAGAGTACGAAGAACAAAACGAGCAGGCCGAGCGTTACGAACAGAAACAAGGGCGACCCAAGAATCAAGGAAAAACAGCTCCAAACTCCATGATTTGTTCCCAAATTTTGTACACAAAATCACAAGAGGATCAGTGAGCTATTCCCGAGAAATCATCGCTCAATTTCAACTGTAACTCTGAAAATCAAAGAAATTCGAGCAAGAACGAGTTTTTCCCCCAAAAAGGAAAATCGGCTTGGATCTCGATGCACGAGTGGAATTGATTCAAATCACTTGGTAGAATTGTTCATCACTTGTCAAAGCATCAACTGGACCAAACAAATCACACAGAAAAACTCAAATCGAGCACAAATCAAGAAGGGGAAACCGGTGAACAGTAACTCGCGAAAAAGAAAAACACGAACACAAACACACATCAGGTTTCCACATCCAGAGGACAAGAGGAGGTTAGGGCCTCCATTCCCAGTACCAAATCACACCAAAATATATCACGAATTTTTTTAGTTCATGGGACCTCTCTCAAGAGTGCTTAGAAGAAGAAACCCTAGGTGGAAGGAGGAAAATGAGAGAATAGGAGAGAGGTGAGGGAGATGGGGGCTCCCTCATTTTATCTAATAGGGCTATTACACATTTCTAGTTTTGCCCCTGGATACAAATGAGTTGAACCGCTAAGCCCAAGGGCATTGTTGTCCAACCCGGTGTAATCTTGATCCGATGGCCACCGCGCCTTCTCACCGGTAGCTTTGCCTCGACGCGAACTCCCTGATGCCGCCACGTGCCATCCGTCCCTCCTCGGAACCTCCGCCCGGGTTTTGAGGCCCAAAACCATAAACCGTCCATCCGATGGTTTTGAGACCCAAACCATCAAACCGTCTGCGGGTAGCGTACTCCATACACGTCCCCCGCCATCCGACGCGTGTCACCGCCGTCCTCGACCGGCTGGCCCGCCAAGTCCTCCTGAGCCTCGCTCGACTCATGCGTCCGCCGTCTTGACCTGGTCAACACCGTCACTCCATGTCTTCTTGCACTTGTTGATGTTCCAAGTGTCAGCCACCGCGGCTAATCGCCCGGCCTCTCGGTCCCTCGGTCCAAGCCTCACGTCCGTTCTTCACCGCTCCCGGTCCGTCGGCACGGCACGTCCTCCTTGATCTTCACCTCACCGTCAACTACCGCCTCCGTGCTCCACACCTGCACACCACGAGCCAAGAGACATGCACACATAGCTTTCACCATGGTAGAGTTAGTAACCGACTCAACCTATTCGTGGATCACGTTGATCAATCACTCATCACACAAAAACGAACACACAAGGGTACTTGTCAATCTTGTGTTCGCAATCTCCCCCTTGATGAGTGCATTGTCAACACCACCACACAAATAGCTTGAGCAAAGAAGAAGAAAAGGAGGAAGAAGAGGAGAACTCATCCAAATGACCAAAAGCCAAAAAAAACGGGGTCATTTGAAATGAGCAAAGCTTGGTCCCCAAAGACATGGGCAACGGCTCAACGCAACCAAGCAAAACACAGCTAGCCCTCAAGAAGAGGCAACGGGCTCAACACCACTAGCAAAGCTCAAAAAAACGGGAAAATTGCTAGACCCTCAAGAAGAGGCAAAGGCTCAACACATCTAGCAAAAGCAACTCCACAACTCCATCCTCACTTTGCTTGTTCTTGTACACCCACTTGGTTCCTATGGGATGACACTCGAGTGGTGGTGGAACTAAGACCCAAACTTGATTCCGCTCAAAGTTCTCTAACTCCTCGTGCATAGCATTGACCCAATCGGGATCAGAGAGTGCGTGTCCAGTACTTTCGGGCTCAAAGTTAGCAACAAAAGCCAAATGTGCGAAATGGGAAATATGATAAGACTTGGAACGCATTACCCTTTCGTCGATGTCGCCGATCATGGTCTGAGGAGGATGGCGTCGCTGGATGTGTCGAGGTGCACCCAAAGATGAAGTCGCCTCCCCCTCATCCACAGCTAGGGCCTCCTTAGTCGATTGAGGAAGCGGCTTGCACGGACCCCATGAAGTAGAGGTGGAGGGCTCAGGGCCGTGAGCCGAAGTGGTCGAAGCTGGCTCGATCGAGGTAGCCGGTTGAGATGGCTTGGGATCATCCCAATCAGCGTCGTCGTCGTCCTCAATGAAAATGTTGTCACCCATCTCTTCATCACCTGCACGTTCAAAGATAGAAACAGAAGAGGGCATGGTTTTGTCAAAGGTGACTTCACAAGTCTCCACGACACGGTTAGTCTCAAGATTAAGCACACGGTACGCATGTGAATGAGAAGCATAACCGAAAAATATACCGTCCGAAGATCTAGATTCAAACTTGTCAAGATTACCTTGCTTAAGAATGAAGCACCTGCAACCGAAGACTCAAAAATGACTCACCTTGGGTGGACGCCCAAACCGCAACTCGTAGGATGTCTTCTTCAAGAAAGCACGAAGGAAAATGCGGTTTGAAACATGGCAGGCGGTGTTGATGGCTTTGGCCCAGTAACGCCTAGGAGTCCTATGCTCATCGAGCATCGTCCTGGCCATTTCAACCAAAGTCCGATTTTTGCGCTCAACAACACCATTCTGCTGAGGGACATAGGGCGAAGAAAACTGATGTTCAAGACCCAAAGAAGCACAGAAGGTGTCAAACTGTGACTTTTTGAACTCAGTGCCATTGTCACTGTGGATAGCTCATATGGCATTCTTTGGTAACTCAGTTTGCAACCTCAAGATCAAGTCACAAGCATGAGAAAACGCTTTGTCCTTGCCCTCCATGAAAAACACCCAAGAATAGCGAGAAAAATCATCCACGATCACAAGAACGTACCACTTCCCTCCCTCTGACCGAACCCGAGCTGGACCAACAGTGTCCATATGGAGTAGCTCACCGGGTCTCGTGGTCATGACCTGAGTCACTGGAGGATGGGAAGCAACCACCATCTTCCCGTGGCGACAGGGATGGCATACCAGATCCTTCTCAAACTTAAGTTTGGGCAATCCTCAGATCATGTCAAGAGAACTCAACCTTACTAGGAGATCGAAGCTCAAGTGACCAAGTCTCCTATGCCACTTCCACAAATCAGAAGAAGATCCGGCAACCAAACAGCGAGAAGAACCAAAAGACTGAGAGAAATCAGCTCTGAAAACTCGACCGAAAGGAACGATCTGACAAACTAGATGTCCCTGAGAATCGAGCACACGAGAAAGTCCAGTCTTAAAGTGCACGTCAAACCCATCTTGAAGGAGTTGCGAAACAGAGAGCAAATTGAAATGCAGGCTTGAAACCAAAGCAACGTCCTTCAAGATAAAAGACTCATTGATCCGAATGGTCCCACGAGACAGAACCTTACCTTTGCTATTGTCCCCAAATGTGATGTACTCCTTGTATTGCATGGGGTCGAGGCTGGAGAACCATTTGGAACTTCCGGTCATGTGGTGCGAACAGCCGGAATCAACAAGCCACGTGTTCTCCAGGCCTCCGCTCTGCATCAATAGAAAGACAGGGGGTGAGAAAATGGCACAACACTGGGGTTAGCGAAATGAGGAGAATACCAATGTTGAGTCATTTGCCCTAGAAAAGTGTTAGGAAAAACACCATACATGCCATGTCCCATTGGAGAGAAGCGATCACCACATGGGGGAAAACATGGTCCGCTAGGAGTGTGGGACTGAAAGCCACCGTCGCGAGATCTAGAGTCATATTGATCATGACTTGGGCCACGTCGAGCATGACCACCTCGTGGTCTCGCCACCTGAGGCCTAGCACCTTGAGGCATTGCACCTCTAGGCCTAACACTGCGCCTCTGAACAGGTGGTACATGTACGCCATGGGGAGAACGGTACATGTTCCGGTTGTTCAACTCGTACTCGTGCCGCTCATCTCTCTTCCTCCTAAAGCAAAACTCAGCCAGATGACCATCTCTATGGCAATAGTCATAGTGGTACCTCACCTCTCTCTTGGGTGGTGGTTGACTCACTCTCTTGTGGGTGTGGTTCACTCTCTGAGGCTTTTTGGCTTTAGGAAGGGGTGCACTAGAGATGTTGGGTAGAGTATCGAGTGAGTTCCGAAGGTGGTTCGGTTTGGGAACCCAAACTTGCTTGGATGGTGGAGCTTTTGGTGATTCTTCAAACACACCATCTTTGA